ATCCTCAAGGTTTATCCATGTTGTAGCATGTCAGGATTTCCTTCCTTTTTATGGCTAACATTCCGTTGTAAGTATATACCACACTTTGTTTATCCATTCACTGGTCACAGACACTTGGGTTGCTTCTACCTCTTGGCTACTGTGAATAATGCTGCTATGAATATGAGTGTACTAGCAAATTGCTCTTAAGTAAAATAAATTGGTTACATTCTGCAGTGTTCATTTCAGCTCATAGTCTTGCATTCACGTTCTCAAGAAAAACTAATCTCAGTCCGTCTTATCCAGTTATTTACACTTGGAATAATCTTAGCCTGTTGGCCAGTCATGACCAGGTGTAGCCATTCATCTCACAGCCCAGATGAAGAGGCAATCTGCCTAGGAGGAAACAGGTTCACAGAGGGCTGGCCTTGCAAAACTCATTTTATGAAGTGGTGATAAAGTTCTTTAGGGAGATAATATAAGCATAGTGATTATAAACACGGGTCTGGCCTCAGAATCCCAGCTCTAGCACTTACCAGCTGTGTGACCTCCAAAAAGTTACTTAATCTCTCTAAGCCTCTGTTCCTAATCTCTAAAACAGAAGCAGTGATAAAAATAGTACTTACATCCTAGGGTCATGGTAAGAAATAAATGAAATAATCCGTGTAAAGAATTTAGCGTAGCGTCTGACATATAGTAGCTCAAGAGTTGTCAGCCTTTATTCCATGGTTACAGGTCACCAATTCCAACCCCCTCATTAAAGATGAGGTCCAACAAGATAAAGCAGTGCACACTCCTGCCTTGATAGTCACAGAGCTCTGGATGGGCAGAGACCCCTTGTCTGACATGAAAGTGATCAGAGATTTACTCTTTTTAATCACAGAAGTTTGTTTTATTTCAAAACTTTGATCAAAAGAAAATACACCACTTAACCTAAGGTTGACCATTTTAAGTCCACAGGCTTAAAAATAAAAGCTAAGAAACAGGAACTGAAAATATTAAAAAATAAAATCTGAGCAAAACCAAGTAAACATCACAGACATCTTTCTGCTAAGAAAGCCCTTGACCTTGTAAGTGTGTCTTAAATCTTGTTTAAAACATATTTGGTTTTCTTTTGCTTTTGTATCAAATGTGGATCATCACAGCCATCGTGCAAAGACCACCACATTTTAAATAATGATCTATGCTTTTACTTGGCCTCTCCTCAGCATTTCTGCCTTTGCAATTCTGACGGACTTAAGAGTTTAACACATTTGGGCAGTTCATTGGACGGCAGTCCAAGGCTTCAGGGCAACTAGGGGCCACTTTAGGATAGAATCAAAAACTTTTCCCTCAATCACCCTGCAGCTGAGCAGCTCCCAGCCCCAGAGAGGAGCCTTCTAGCTCCAGCATCCTCTCTAAATCCCTGGACCACAGCACTTTTCAAGCACATGGTGTGCTTCCTCTAGCAGTCCCAGACAACTTGAAGAACCTATATGGCCTTTCTTTGATCAGATTTACATCCCACGATATTCAGGGTTCATGGTGATAAGCAACACTAAAGACATCTTTCTTTCCCAGGCTACGCTGCTTTGCTCCCGTTCACTGGTGATACCCTCAGGCCAAGAATCACCCAGCACATAAGTGGTTAGCAACCCTTGCTGTGCATTAGAATCCCCTGCAGTGCTTTTTTGTAAAACCATGGATGCCTGGAGATCACCCTAGGTCATCTGAAACTGAACTTCTGAGGATAGAGTAGAGGGCTCAGCCGTTCTCAGGAGCTCTGCAGGTGGCTGTGATGGGTAGTGAGGTTGAGAACCTCTGCCCTAACCAAAACAGGAAGTCAGAGTGTAGCATCAGGCACCGTGCTCCAAGGTAGGCCCCACTCAAGCTGAAGGGCAGAATCTTTCAAGCCACACCACAGATTCCAATAAATGACCCCAATTCACCACTAAAGGGGAAGAGGTCCTTCCCCAGCTCATCTAGACATCAAACCAGGACAACTCATTTCTAGCTGGGGCTACTGAAGCCCTGATCCACACTCCAGCCAACTTCACACCCTGAGTGCTCATCTTATCCAGCCAAACTCTGCTTCCAGTCTGTCTGCAGTGACTACACCTGCACGACTAGACTCTACTGAAGAGTAAGAGAGAATCGTATTCAGTCACGGCTCATAGGAAATCTCAGGGGCCACCAGCAGCATTCTTTATAAGCAGCAGGACCAGTATACATGAAATGGTCAAGACCCAGAAAGTAGGCAGACCACTGAGCGGGGCATCACTAAAGAAAGATGAAGGAGGCAGACATGCTGAAGGTGTTCAGCAGCAAAACTGAAAGGAGAAGAACATACAGGAGGCCCATCCCAGTATAATCAGAGTGGCAGACAAAGAACCAAGGCAGAGACTGAATATAGAAGCAGGGTGGCATGGTGGGTACACAACTGGGCTCCGGCTATAAATTGCCTGGATCGAACCCTGGCTCTGATCCATGACTGGGGGCAAGCAAAAGAACAACAACAAAAATAAAATAAAACACTCTAGGGCTTCCCTGGTGGCGCAGTGGTTGAGAGTCTGCCCGCCGATGCAGGGGACACAGGTTCGTGCCCCGGTCTGGGAAGATCCCACATGCCGCGGAGCGGCTGGGCCCGGGAGCCATGGCCGCTGAGCCTGCGCGTCCAGAGCCTGTGCTCCGCAGCGGGAGAGGCCACAGCAGCGAGAGTCCCGCGTACCGCAAAAAAACAAACAAACAAAAAAAACACTCTAAGCCTCAGTTTTCTCATCTGCAAAATAGGAATAATATTACCTTTCTCATAGGGTTATTAAATACGATAGTGAGTATGAGGACCAGCACAATAGCTGGTGCTTAATCAAATGCTAGCAATATCATTATAAGAAAAAGAGGCAGATCCTAGGACCCAAGACAGAGGCTTAGGCAAAAGGAAATAAGACAAAAGGCCAGTTACAAATCAGAGCAGACCCTGCAGTAAAAAGAGAAGCCTTGTCACCATGATGGCAATAGACTAGAGCTCTCAGTTCTAGTTGCTTTGTAAAAACAGGGTTGGCTCCAGAGCCTTGGGCCAACTGGACAGCTGTGACCTTAGCTGCAAAGGTTAGAGGCCTGGAGGCGGGGGAACCAAGCTGACTGTTATGCCCATTGGCTTGCCACAGGTTCAAAGCTGAGGCCACTCGCTGGGACTCCTAGAGCCCACTTTCCTTTGAATCCATAGGTCCTTCCCAGTGTGGCCCTTACCTTCAGGAATTACTTTAAAAAACAAAAAACAAAACAAACAAACAAAAACTCCTAGTATTTTCTACCTCCAGCTGCAGGTTCCCATTCTTGCCCTGGCCAGGGGCCCCCCTCCTGTGCTACAGTCATTTTAGTTTCTCTAGCACCTCCCCTGCTTTGCTCAGTCTCCCTTCCAGCCTTCATTCTAGGCCCTTTAAACAGGCCCACGGAGTCCCCAGAGTCCAAAAGAAGGCTTTCTTCCCTACCCTTTCTCCCCACTCCCAACAAGTCCCACACCCTGCCCACCCCCAACCAGCCAGAGTCTTATTAGCTTCCAACTCCACCCTATAAAGCCTTCATTTAGGAATTCTCATACATATTTCCATGTTAATAACACCCACCATCTTCCCTGGAAAGTTCCCATTAGCTTTTCCTTAAGCACTCAAAATACAGTAAGACTTCACATTCATGTCTTAACACAGAAACCTCTGTCCTGCTGGCTCTTCAGTTCACTGTCATTAGGGGGAAGGGAAGCATTTGACAATACTCTGAAAACAAACCAAACCAGGAAGTGGATAAATGGGGACATTTTTCTTAACATGTTTACTTCTGACCTTCTCCCCTCCATCCCCCAAAGCTGACATACCCAGTACTCTGCTTCTCACTGCAGCACAGAGATATTTGGGGTCTGTCTCCAGCACAGACCAATAGATCTGTTCTCTTCTAGGGCAAAGCTTGAAGCTTTAATCTTGTCCAGCCGTTTCACAGATTCATTGTAGAGCAGTTACAGATCTGTGATAAGGGGAACCAAGCAAGAGCGCCCACCTGGAGCCATCCGAGAGCATCAGTGTGGCTCGAGATCAATAGGCCCCCACGGTAGAAGGCCAAGAGGTAATTATCCTCCCGGCAGAAAGTACTCCTATCTGTGCCTGCAGGGTTCTATCTCCTGCTTATTTTCTGCACTCATGCACAGGAACTGAGGGAAAAAAAATTCAATAACGATACTGTGGTCAGCTGTACTCTCGGGTTAGGCAGTATTGGAAGAACATTCCCATTTTATAAAACTACCAAGTCTTAGAATATTTTCGGAGCTGAAGGAACCTCAGGAGTAATCTCTCCCACTTCTTCATTTTAGAGATGAAGAAACTGAGACCTTGAGAAGTAAATGGACCCACAAGGGTCACCAGAGCAGAAGAGGAAGCAGCTTCTCTCTTCCTGTGCTCTAGCCATTGCACCACACCATCCCACGGACAGCTTCATCTTGGCTATGTACAAAACGCATTTTTTAATGTAAATATATGACAGGGACTGAAAAACAACATGAGTGGATTTTTTTTCTTTGAAAAGTATTTATAATACCACAATGTTTTTACAAGAAATATACGTACCTGAATTGTCCTTAGAGAATGAGAAAGCGCTAAGGATCAAAGCAGTCATTTGGTTGCAGAGAAGAAAAGGGGAAGAAAGTCATGGGTGTGTGTGTGGAAAAAACCAAGATAAGAGGTTTAAATAGTATTGAGATTGAATGCAGCATGAAGAAGGGAAAAACGGGCCTGAAAAAGAACATCCATGGAAGAAGGATACAGGAGATCAAGAGAGAAGAAAGACTCCAGAGAATCCCGAGGAAGCACTTTGAACTGTAAAGTGTGAGAATTCTTAATGTTACAGCTTTACAATACTGTGAGTAATGGAAAAGGACAATGGGGAAATGACCTCTGTTAAGCAGGTGATTTACATATTTTCTCATTCAATCTTCACAAAATACCATTATATCTATTTTACAGGTGAGAAACTATGTCTCAGAGAAGTTAACTTACCTATGGTCACAAAACTAAAATGTAGTAAAGCCAAGATTTTATTCAGGGTTGACACCAAAATCCGTCTCACAATCTAGGTTATGGCTTCCTTTCCACTGGAAACTGTAACACAAGTTACAGTGCAGAGTTAGAATCTCATAGCTACATTTGAAAAGCGGCAACCACGTGTCATATCAATACATTTAACATTACAACCTGGAAATGCTCTATTCTACTAACTTTTACTTTGGGCCATAAGAATTATCTCCAAGCATTATAGGAAGTTGAAGCTGGGTTTTGGGCCGATCAAAGAATGATCAATGTGAGAGGTCCTTTTATTACCTAAGTGATTAAAAAAAAAAATTGTATCAAGGGTTCATGTCCCCATTTCAAAGTAAAACAATGTGAGTCCTCACCTAGCAACCAAAATTTATGTTCCTAGCTCATTTCAATTCAGATTAGGTTTCAGAAATCCTAGTTCGTATTCAGTTTCCATTTCTTCATTCTTATGTATTTTTTAAGTAAAGTGTGATATTTTCGACATAATTTAGCTCCAAAAGTTTTAATAGTTCCTCTATTAAGAATATACCACTAGATAACCACATACTGCGAAAATGCCAAAGAACTGATTAAAAGTTCAGATTCCCTTGTTAATTTATGTTATTTCAAGGGAAATGATTGCATATATGATAACAATTTCTCTGGGAGGTATGTTTTGCTTTCTCTTATGATTACTACACAACTGGAAATTAATTTAATTTTCATGATCTCTTGTGCAGTTTCTTTTGTTCTACAGATCTTCTTCATCTCCCCCTCCCCAAAATATTTTAATATCAAAATAACTGAGCTGATATTATTTTTTAAAGTCCTAATATAGAAGACTTTTAACAGTTACAAGAAGTTGATTTTAATAGACATTGAGTTCAGCAGATTAATTATAATTTCAAATGACAGTGAAAAGTTGAGGAAGGAACTGAAGAGAACAAGAAGAATGTGAAAAAAAAAGGAGTTTCCCCAGTAAGACAATTTTTTGTTAATTTTTAACCCAAAATTGAATCCACTTTTTATTCATTTCCACATTAAATTATAAACACATTTTGAGGTGTTGTTTTTAGATGTTTTTTATTTTGTTTTGTTTTGTTTTGTTTTAGATGTTTTTAATTTGTCTAGTCTAACACACAACCTAAAAATTTTCCTTTAGGGTGTGACAATGCTTAAAAACAAAATGAAAACAAACCCTTTTTCCTGTTCTGTTTAAGGTGGGTGGATCAAAGAATGTCTGGGCAGATAAGAGAGCTTCAGACATTGGGCAACCCCAGTTACTGAGGAGAATAAAAAGGACGGTTCTTACAATCATGTCTATAAACAGTTGCTCAAAAAGGCAAGAGAATTCTCCAAACACTTGTTGGTAAATGTTCAATTCAGTTTGCTACATTTCACATCTTCACAGTCTTCAAAGGCTACAAATTTGAAACATTATTGGGTAGGAAGGTTTTGAAACTCAAGTTCCATTTATTCTTGGCCAAGTTCAATAGTCTGGTTCCTGGGATGGGGACCAGGGAGGGACAAACAGAAATAGTTTCTGATGATTTCCTCATCACTCAAGCTCCCCAGAGGAGTCAAAAATGTTTGTTGTTGTTTTATTTTGTTTTAAGTATGAGTCTAAAATACAACTGAGAAAAGTGTTTTACTTTGTTTTGTGTTTCAGCAGCCAAGACCCAAGGTGCTCTGATTCTGTAGATTGAGTCCCACTTTTCTTCTTGGGTAACTTCTGTTTGGTTGGTTGGTTCGTTGGTTGGTTTTTATTCTGGGCACACTGATGCTTTGAAAGAAATTTGAGACTTGTTAGAAAGAAGAAAAGAAAGAAGAGATTTTGAGTAGGTGAATTAGTTATCTATTGCTGTATAACAAATTACCCCTCCCCAAAACTACCAGCTTAAAGTAACAAACATGTATTATCTCAAATAGTTTCTGAGGTAGAAGAATGGAGAAGCAGCTTACTTGAGGGTTCTGGCTCAGAGTCGCTCATGAAGTTACAGTCAAGCTGTCAGCCAGGGCTGTAGTCACTGAAGGCTCAGGATCCATTTCAAGGACACACACATGGCTGTTGACAGGCCTCAGTTTCTTGTTGGCTGTTGGCTGGAAACTTCATTTCCTAACCATGTGGGCCTCTCCATAAGGCTGCTCACAAGGCTTGCTTCCCCCAGAGTAAGGGATCTAAGAGATAGAAAGAGAGAGACCGACGACAAACAGATGCAACATGCCCATGATGGAAGTACAGCCTCTTAGAACCTAATCTCAGAAGTGACATTCCTTCACTTCTGCTGTTCCTTACTGCTCACACAGAACACCCTGGCACATGGTAGCAGGGGCTTGCATGAAGCCACAAATACCAGGAGATGGGGATTGTTGGGGGCCATCTTGGAGGCTGACTATCATAGAAGGCAACTAGCAAATCTGCCAAACTTTGACCCCCTTTTTTTTTGCCAGGCAGCGTGGCTTGTGGGATCTTAGCTCCCCGGCCAGGGATCGAACCCGGGCCCTCAGCAGTGAGAGTGCAGAGACTTAACCACTGGTCTGCCAGGGAATTCCCAAGCCCTTAATTTATATTTCATATACCATTATTGAGACTTCACACAGCCACAGAACCTGGGACACTCAACAAATATTTATGGAATGAGTGAGTTGAGAAACGTACATTTCAAGCTACTGTGCTGTGCTGCTATCTTCCGGCCAGCAACTGGCATCGTAACCATTTTATTAGGACTTCGGCATTTCTTTCTGCAAATAGTTCATGGGAGTGATTTTCAAATGATGCTCCAAGGGGTCCCAGGTGGAGCTCCTGGAAGGTAACCCCTCAACCCTTCTTGGTTCAGTCAGAGCAACTCCCCTGACATCTATTTTTACATGTTGGATTTCCTTTGAAAAACAATTCTTCAGCTAAAAAAGGGGGGGGGGGTTAAACTAAACCCTTCTTATGCATTTTACCTATGTTATTTTAAATAAAAACATTAGAAAATGGATAAATGAAAATGTGGATAGTGCTGAAAAGTATTGTCCTCTCAATTTAGAAATCCTCAAAGAAATCCTCCAAAGCAGTAAATCTTTAATGTCAATTCAGACATTAGGCTTAAGCTGGTTGACTTTGGATTCAATTATACAAAACATACACATGGAGGTGTGCACACACAAAAGACAGGGAAAAATATATGCAAAAATCTAGAAGTATACAATTGAAGATTATGTCTTAAAATAAGGTAAAATTAAATTTTTTATATTTTTTCCAGCTCTTGAGGAGTGAGGACATTCTCAGAATACATGAGCCTATCTTTTGACTTTTGTGTCAGACTTTCCTATTAGTTTTGGGGAACAAAGTACATGGAGAGGTAGAATCTTGTCTGTGTGCTCCTAAATTTTGCTGGATTTATCATCCCATGTTTAAAATTCCCCATATTTCCACGGCTAGCCAGACTCTAATCAAATACTACAAGTGTTTCGAGGGACCCTTTAAAGCCATTGGGCCTTAACCTCACCTTAAGCCAAACAGAATATTTGGATTTCTATCAAAGTAGCCTTTCTTCACCCAAGTTCTCAAAAATCACAAGCCTCTCAAGTATCTTCTAAATGAGCTCTGTTTTGTGTGTTTTACTTCGCATAAGGCAAAGGTCATTTGCTTTACCATTAGCTCCATGTCCCAGTTGATTGTAAAGTCCTCAAATAACTACACATTGACTATAAAATGTCATTAAGGTATATCATATCCTCTTAAAAATTCCCATAGAAAGGAACAAGGAAAAAATTAATGAATTAGCCTCCACTTATAAGGAAAACAAAGAGCTTAACTATTGAATTACACTACCTAAAATTGAATGTTTGGGGATTAAATTGTGTCCCCAAAACGATATGTTGAAGTCCAAACCCACACCATCTCAGGATGTGACCTTATTTGGAAATAGGGTTATTGCAGATGTAAAGATGAGGTCATAACGGAGTAGGGTGGGCACCTAATCCAATGTGACTGGTGTCCTTAGAAGAAAAGAACCATGTGAAGCCTGGGAGAATACCATGTGAAGACGGAAGGTTGGAGTTTGCATCTACAAGCCAAGGAATGAATGCCTGGGGCTACTAGAATCTAAGAGAGCAACGAACAGATTCTCCCTCAGAGCCCTCAGAAGAAACCAGGCCTTCCCACACCTTGATTTTAAGCTTCTAGCCTCCAGGACTGTGAGAAAAATCAGTTCTGTTGATTAAGTTACTCAGGTTATAGTACTTTGTTTGCAACCCTAGCAAACCAATACAGTGAATTCACGTCTTACAGCTCTAGTCCAGTTCCCACAATGCCTTTAGGAAAATTAACTCTCGGACTGCTCTGGGCAGACCACTGAAAGCTTCTATGCCTCTCCACTGTCCTCAGCAGGGCTCACAGGCTGCTGCCTGCCTTGCAGACAGGTTTTATTTTTGCCTATTTATTTTTTAAAAAGTTTATTTTGACTCCAATGATAAAGTTGAGAGATTTCCCATCAAAATCTGGCTTCCAATTTCTCTCGAAAAATCAGAAAATCTGGCAGGAAACTCAAACTCAATAGGATTCTAGTCTTTTCTGCATCTTATCTGCCTGGAGGTATAGTTATTTATATACCTGCTTTACCCTCTTCCAAACTTAGTCTCACCTATCTATTCATCCCCTACCACTGTGGTTGTCAAACTTCAGCAGGCATCAGAATCACCTGGAAGTCTTGTTAAAACCCAACTCGCTGGGCCCTACCCCAGAGTTTCTGATGCAGCAGGTTTGGGGGTGAGGCCCATGATTTGCATTTCTAGGGTTTCCCAGATGACACTGCAGCTGCTGGTCCGAGGACCACACTTTGAGAACCACTGCCTTATAACACGATGTTTGGTCTTGCACATAAAATGGGCTCAATAAATTGCTGAATTATTATAGTTGTTGCATAGTGATTAAGAGCACACAAATACCATTTGCAACTTCCAATTTCATCACTCACTATGACTTTGCACAGGTTACTTAATTTCCTTGTACCTCTAGATCCTTGCTTGTTTAATTAGAAAAATAAGAGCACCTGTGTACTTCAAAGGGCTGTTATCAATATTAAATGAGATGATACAGGTAAAATACTGCAGCTGATCATCCGTGCTCAGCAGACATTAGCTGTTATTACTATTTATTAATTCTCTCCTTCCCTAGTCTATAAGTTTGAAGCCAGTCTCCCTCTCATTTTCCTTTATATAACCACCCCCTGGACCCGCACCGATATCTAAAGCTGTGCCTCACCCAAAACAGGCACTGAATAAACATTTCCTGAATGAATAAATGAAGAAACTTAACATACACTCAAATTCCGTGGGTCGAACATATCAGTTAGGACAACCAAGCTGAGTCGACACTCTTCTAGAGCCCTTTTAGTTGCAACACAAAGCTGAATTAAAATGGGTATTCCTAAATTAAAGTGTAAACTCAGAGATGATTGGCAAATGTAATAATTCCCCAAAGGGGCATTAACAGCTAGCTTTTTTGCACACAACCTTGGTGTCAGGCACTATTCTCTGTCCTCTGGGCTTACTCACCCCTCGAATCAGGCCTCGTTAACGTTAAACCTCAGGTTGATATATCAGTTAGCAATTGCATTTGGCTACTTGTGACAGAGACAACAAAAATAATGACCCAAACACACAAAGGAATTTTCTCTCATAAGGAAAAACCAGAGGAGGCAGGTCAGGGCTGGTGTGACAACTCAGCAAAAGCTTCAGGGACCGAGGCACCTTCTCTCTTCCTGTACCTCACCTCAACCCTCAGCTGTGTCTTCAAGGTCCAGCATCGCTAATTGGGGCGCCAGCCTCATATCAGCTTTCCAGTCAGCAGGGAGACAGGAAGGGCAAAAGCGCCCGCCCTCCCTTTGCAGAAGGCTTCCTGGAAGTTCCACAGAATACTCTGCCCACATCCAGCCAGCCCAAACCTGGTCACACGGCCACACCTACCTCAGGGGAAACTCGATCTCTGAGCTGAACACGTTGCTGCCCTGGGAAAGCCAGTTTCTGTTAGTAAGGAGAGAGGGAGAGCCCATCTAGAGCATTCACCATGTCTGCAACAGCTAATACAAGTTCACACACGTAAACACACACATACAGACATGCAGTCTTCATCCTGGGCTCCCACTGAAGAGCAAATCACACGTTTGAAACACGTTTCAAATTTGTTAAGTAAGCTACCGTGAGTGTAGGTTTCACTCACACATTTTTGCTATCACCTTTTTGATGAGGCAAGACAAGAACCTTGACCATATCTCAGCCTTGGGGAAAGCAGCTGGCTCCCCAGCAGTGCCACGGGCTGCGTGTATGAGGAGTGTGAATTTGGATCACACACACTGTGATGATGCTGGCAGTGGGGATAAAAATAAGTGCCTCCCAACACCCTCTGCATTGTGATTACAGTATCCAAACCTAGAGCCCGAGGGTGCTGAAAGCAAACAGCAGGAGAATGAACGCACTGTAATGCCTCCTTCAAGGAAAGCTGATAGGATCTGAAAAAACAGGAGACATCACTTAGTAGGAAACTCTCCCTTTCCCTCTCTCTCTCCCTCTCTCTCTCTCTCTGTCTCCCTTCCCCCCTCCCCCTTCCCACTATCTAAAATGTATCAGGGTTGTAGTGTTAATTAACTTTGTGACTTAAAGTGTAAAGCACCCCTATGCAAACCACCAAAGAGCACCTCCTCCATTGAAACCCTCTAAGCCATCAGCTAACCTGGATTTGCAATTTCTCCGTGATTGAGCCTTGCAAGGCAGACAAAAACTCCTTTATAAAAAAGCTCGGAAAGAAGTGAACTCTGAAACGATAGGGTCTCTGTGTTCTTTGTGTAGGTAGGCAATTTCCCAGCAAGGTTTCGGGTTTTGCAGTTAGCTTTTGTAATTACAATAAAAGAGAGATAGTAACCTTTACAGTGAGTGGCAGTAGCACCCTAACACTAGGCTGTGTGAAAACAGATCACATTACCTAGAGCCTCACATTGCAGCGGGGGGTTATTGTATAAAAACGGGTTCTGTTGTAGGCATCCAGGTAGCCTTTCTTCATCAAGGCAGGCCATTGCACCTGTGTGAGGCGGATTTTTTTTTTTTTTTTTCGGTAAGGGAAAATCTCTCCTCCCAGCAATTCAATTGATATTGAAAGTCACTTGCTAAGTGGATTTGTCGGGGAGTTGTGTGGGGGGATGGACAGAGAGGAGGAAATCTTGCAGGCGGGAGGGGAAGCATCCACAAGCTAAGTAAACTACTAGGTGAACAACCTCAGGGGTGAGACTGCTCTGGGATTCCTTTGGTTGCTGTATGTGGCTACCCTGACTAACAGAGTTTGGAAGCTGCTGGTCATCATCACTTTTGCTTTCCTGTGATGAGAATGAATGCTATTAAACTAAGAACTGTTTTCATTTTTGAAGACTTTCTTTTAACTTAGTTCATGGAACATGAGTGTTGCATAAAATTATTTCCTACCTAATAAATACCAACATTAAAAGTTACATTTTCACGTAGAAAATTGTCCTTCGTGCTGAGCTGCTGCTAGTAGAAGAATTTAAAGAGAGTGGCTCTTATCTATCGATGTTAATGGGCCTTCACATCACCATGGACGGATTGGAACTGTGTGCAAGAAGGCACGGATCATGGAAATTCAGTGCCGGTAAAGGCTGCTCAATTGACAGAAGATGTGTACTGAGGAAAGCAGTCATGCAGTCAGTAAATATTTATTGAGTTAGGAGCTTTAACGGGATATTGTCAGAGCTTAAAAGAGGGTGTGTATGCATGTGAAATGGTCTAAGACTAATAAATTTACAAGAGCAAAACCAAACTGGAACAAATTGGGAAGTGCTGAGGAGTTGCAGAAGGGAGCGTGGTAAGGTGAGGCCAGCCCAGGAAGGCGGTTTGGGACCAGGCTAACTCTGAATCGGAAGTTTAGGGCTCGTGGCCCCAGGTCCCTGCATAACATGTAAATTCCTGCTGGACCCAGCCAGCCATTCACTGAGGGCAAGAACCCATCAAGGACATTTTAAGCATGTATATGTGTCCTATTCTATTTTCCAGGCTTCCTAGAGAAGGAAAGGTATGTACCTCAGAGGTCAAAAGTGACCCAGTATTGTGTTTGGCCTGCAATTTTCTTTTTTTTGAGCTAGCATTTAAAAAATCAATGGAGAGGGCTTCCGTGGTGGCGCAGTGGTTGAGAATCCGCCTGCCAACACAGGGGACATGCGTTCGAGCCCTGGTCCGGGAAGATCCCACATGCCGCGGAGCAACTAAGCCCGTGCGCCACAACTACTGAGTCTGCGCTCTAGAGCCGGTGAGCCACAACTACTGAGTCCATGTGCCACAACTACTGAGTCCATGTGCCACAACTACTGAGCCCGCGTGCTGTAACTACTGAAGCCCACGTGCCTAGAGCCCGTGCTCCGCAACAAGAGGCCACTGCAACGAGAAGCCCGCGCACCACAATGAAGAGTAGCCCACACTCGCCGCAACTAGAGAAAACCCGCACGCAGCAACACCCAACGCAGCCAAAAACAAACAAACAAATAAATAAATGTAAAAACACAAAACAAAGAACCTGTAGCACACACACACACAAAAAGCCCCCACCCCCCAAAAAAACAATGGCGATTTCTGTCTTCTTTAAGAGAAATTAGGAGATAATTTGGTGCAATCTGGATTTGCACCGCTGAAATACGAGTCCAGAGCTGGTAAATTTCAGACAGCCATCTCACGGTCCAGGGGAGGTGGGCCTTGCCTCCCCACACACAGTCCCCGCCACTTCCCGTAGCCTCCCCTTCTCCTCTGCTCTGAAGTCTCCCATCAGCTGCCATTTCCCATAAGGGTTACAAGGTTGGTATTTTATAGGAAAGAAATATCTTCTTCCAATGTCACTATCAAATACGGGGACATGACGGACCTGAAGGATTATATATCAAGAGGAAAAAAATCATTCTTTGCTTCATTCTACAACTGTTTATTGAAGACCTACTATGAGCCAGGTACTGTTTTAAACACTAAGGATATAAGGGCAGGGTCAGGGGGAATGGACATGTTCCTCCCCCTGTCAAGCCGTTTCTTATTTGTAAGAGAGAGACGATAAACAAAAAATACAATAGCACTGCAGAGAGTGGTATGTAATATGAGAAGAAAAAAAAAGCAGGGGTAGAGTAGGGGTGGAGGGTCGGGATGGGGTGAAGGGGCAGATATGTTGGTCACAGAAGGCCGCTCCAATGAAGTGGCATTTGAACAGAAATCAGAATGAACTGGAGGAGTGAGCTTTGAGAAAGTGTATTTCTTTGTGGAAGGGAAAAAAATCTTTCAATGTATTTAATATGCAAAGGGCCTTTGTGTCAAAAGAACTCAGGCACTATTACGAAATAAACCAAGGTAAAAATTATGGAAGAGCAAACAGAAAAATTCAGGCCCAGTCTTCAAGAAGCCTGCTTTTTAAATTAAATGATCTTTAAAAGAAAGATCTATATTTTGAATTTTTATATTCATTTCACTAAAGACCAAAATCCAGTTTGATATTAGCAATCTAATTACATTTCCATCTTAGTGACCTTATGGGATAGGGAAGAACATCTCCATTCTACAGATAGAAAAGCAAAGCTCAGAACCATTAAAACTCGCTGCGCACGGCAGCATCGTTACTACGTGGACAGGACAAGGCTATCCTGATTCCAGTCCCAGCGAATTTCCAAGGCTAATGCTTTAATATGTTCCTCCTCTGAAGCACCTGTAACAAGAGCAGAGCGAAAGCAAACTTGGGTGAGGAAGTGAGGGGGTACAGAGTTTTAGAGGGCCAGGAAGTGTTTCTGAGCAACCGGCTCTAGATACAAAATTTCTTTGTGATCTCATGTTATTTCTGAAATACAAACACATTTTACATTTGTTCCATAATGTATCTGTATTCTTTCAATTTTGATCAAATAAACACACTACAAGAAGATGTGCTGTTTTTACTGCTTAACTTTGCCTACCATCCCCCCCCAAATGCACTGAGTACCCCAGTTTAGAAAACAGGGCCAGAAGGTCTGCAGAATTAACAAGTAGAACCAGAGCCAACAGGGACTTATAGACCCATCAGGGCTACAGACCATGATATTCTCCATCAAATGCACAATTATTAAGATACATAAAGATCATTAAAATACTCTCTACATTGCGAACATAAGCAAGCATGTATTACAAAATGGTATTCAAGATCAAACATTCAGTTTATTACTTTAGTGTAATTTTCAAGATGTTGTGCACATCTGGAGTTAAAATAACACAATCTAAGAAAACTGGGGATGGTAAGGTCCAAGAATAAAGTTATTGTCTTTGCACACAAATCAGTGGATTGCTGAGACAAGTTTTCCTTTACTGCATAGTTATTATTTCATTAAGGGTAAAATACAACATTACTGTTCCGGAATGTATCACATAGATGTTTCCAAGGGTTGGTGTCTCTGCACTCTTCTAATCATAAACTGTTACAGATGGGTTTCTGGGGTTCTGTGGATCACATGATAAAAATAACTCTCCCTTGCCTTGTCTTTCAGTCTTTGTGTAATTGCAGGGGGTACGTATCAGTTTTTGGCTCATCCGTAATGGAGGACCCTCTTCCCTGACTTTTCCCTAAAGGACTCTATTTATATTGCACCTGATATGTACCCAGTCTCCAAGTAGAAGGATGAACTTGGCAAGAGTCTTTCTTCAACCCATTCATCGGGGCCATTGCAAATGTCTGGCATGAGTCCACGTTATTTCCCTCACATTCCAACGCATGTCGTTCCAAGACATCTTTCCACGTACCATGTAGGAAATAGCTCCATGCACCAAGAAACAAAACCCAGCCAAGGAATCTGATATTCTGTCCAAAGACCTTTGAAGAAGATGCTGA